TACTACTACTACTACTACTACTACTACTACTACTGTTTTTTTGTACCGTAGGTTTGTACTACCGTAGGAGGTAGCAATGCTTTGGTGTGACCTTAATGATTTTAGTAACGCAAACACTGCTACTACTAGTACTAGCTACTAGTACTAGCTACTAGTATTCCTAGTAGTATTAAATTCAAAAGCCTGGTGGGGATCCAGGTCTTTGTTACCCCCATTAAGTCCACTTTTCAATCTGGTTCAATAAAATCCCTGAAGCTGGCTTGTCAATCATTGTGCTGCTTATTGCTTGTATTATTTGAATCACTTTGATACTACCAAGAAGGGAAAATAACAGAAAGTGAATCCTACTACAATAAGAAATTGGACTTTTTGTTCAATCTGCTGCAGCCCTTCCTACAGCTACTAGTACTATTAGTACTAGTTCAGCTGTTTGTGCAAATCAAACTTTAGACTACTATTTGTAGTACCATGCCACAAAAAGTGAATGGGATCTGTTGGTGAAAATAATGATGGAACCTTGTTCATCACACTAGTATCTAGTAGTACCTTTCTTCAAAATTTAATAACAACATTAGTACTACTACTACTACTACTACTACTACTACTACTACTACTACTACTACTAATACTACTACTACTACTACTACTACTGTACTATCAAGGAGAGCTTGTTTCATTCTTCATTTTGTTGTTGTTCCTTTCTATTATTACTGGTAGGCTCAGCATGTTTTTACAAAGAGATCAAAATTGATGATGGATATGGTGAAAATTGTTGAGGGTACAAGTAGTAGCTTTTATGTCACCCTGTGATTGAAAAAGAAGAAGGAATCCTTTGCAAATATAGGCAGCTTTGGATATGGCTATGGCAGGCACAGTGCACCAACCAATGCCTTGTTCTTGGACAAGTTTGGGCCCTACAAGAAATACAGACAGTTTCTCTCCAGCAAGTTGTGGAGCAGCAATGTGAAGCATAACAGCATCAACACCAATGTCAACACCAACACCAATGCCAATATTGATGGTATCCAAAACAACATTTTGTTGGCTGTCAACCTCAATTCCAGGAGGCCATCCAGCAAATGTGATGACTACTAGTAGTAGTACATGTGTGAGGAGGTAATATCATTATTGGTGATTCCAAAATGAACCTGGCTATTTTTAGATGAAAAATAATCCCATTCCCAATACTTGATAAATTCAGACACAAGCCATACAACCATCAAAACAGAAGTGGGTAAAACCCCAAGACTAGCCCAAAAACATACAGGCATTCCACAATGTTTATGTTACTAATTTTTTTAAATTCAAATATTTGATGGTGTGAACTAGCTCAGGCATTAGGGAAGCTAGAGTCATCACTTCTTGTTGCTAGTAGATGAAGTTAAATTCTGCTAGTTGCTTCAAGGTATACCTCTCCTGGAGGAGCAAAAATGGGATAGGACAGATGTGCCGATGTATGCTGAAATTATTTAAAGTATTGTTGTCTCTTTTTGGAGTATGCATCAAAAACAAGCATATCTTGAGTGATGCTCTCCAGTGGTTTGTTTAGTAGTACTACTAGTATTAGTATTCAATGGGGGAATCAATGGCCAATTTGATTGGTATTGGTACTAGTGGAGATAGTAGTAGCAGAATCTTAAATATTCCTTTCGATTTTTCATAAACTCTGATAGTAGTTTGAGAAGGAAGTGCTGCTGGGCATTGGACAGTTGTAAAGCTTCAGCAGGGCTCCTAGGACAACAAGGGAAACAGAGTGGCTTCAGTTAGACAAGTTTGGGGTGGAGAGAAACATGCATCTGATTCTTTTAATCAACCATTCTTGCTGTATGGCCTGCTATTTGGAAACAGCACAGCCATGGAAATCTTTACTGCTTTGTTGCTTCAACAGAGCAATGTATGAGCACAAAAAGATTTCAATCAAGGAGGCTTCTAACTGCAGGGAATACTAGGAACCTGAATTCAGATCTGGATCTAAGATCTAATGCTGGGAAAGATGACCCATAGAAGATGGCACCAACTGATGTTGGTCCAATAGTAATAGTGTTTTCCCAGATGGAGACTCTCTGAATATTTCAGCAGTAAAATAACAAGTGTCAAAACATTCTGCAACACAGCTAGCCACGGTTTCCGTGGGAATAGGTAGGAGTCCAATAGCTGCCACTGCCTTCCTCGAAGATGAGATATCATTCCAATGCCAGGAAAGTCAACTGACATGAGAACAGTGGAGGATAAATATACTGTCTTTCTGGTGGGAACAGAAACAGCATAAGCCATGAAATCAATACTTCTGTTGTTTGAGAACTGTAGCAATACAACGCAGAAAGCTTCTTCTTGTTTTCTACACTGTGACAAATCTGATGCTTCTAGTACAAGAAGAAAGAATGGTGCACAAGCAATTGAGAGTTGTATTCTGATAAGGAATGAGATATCACTTGCTACCATCCAACAGTAGGAAGCATTGAATAAGAACCCCAAAGGACACAATCCCATCATATATTTTCAATGGAAAATTATCTGCTGTTATCATTTCATGTCACTCCTTAAAACAACTCAAACCACCAGAGGGATGAGCCTCACTGCTCTTGTCAAAAATTAATGGAGTCATGTGCTTTATGTTTAAGTCTGTGAATAAAAAAGGGTACCACCAGGATTGTGAAGCTACTAGTAGTACTATCAACGTTGGCAGATATTTTGTTCAATGAGTAGTAGTAGATGCTGAGAAGGTCAAATGGACAAGGACACTAAAAGAAGTGGCTGATCACTCTAACTTCTCAAACCACTGCACAACTACAGCAAAGGCTAGCAATTTCAATGTCCTCAAGAACATGAATAAAAGATTACGCATCAAATTTGAACAAGTGACAATACAGTATAGTGCTACATAACTCAATTTCCATTTAATATTGTTAGTACTAGTACTAGTAGTAATACAACAATTGTTCACAAATTGCAGGGAAGAATATCTTCAGGAAAAATGTTGGTTTAAACCTGGTCTTACACAAGCACTGATCATTGGATTGAAGATGTGCCCTCAATAGTTATATGAAAAATTGCACTGATGGCTGGTCTTCTCTTCACAAAAAACAAGAACAGCAAGAACAATACTCAACATGGACAACAAATCAATGGATTCTGTTCCCACTTCAAAAACAAAAAAAACAAGAAGCAGAGTGGTTTCATTGATTGTTTGCTTCCAAATTCTTTATATGCTTTTCCACCACCTTTGCACTCACCCAGTTTCTGCACTACTATTACTACTAGCTACTAGTAGTACTATTACTAGTACTACTACTACTAGTAGTAGTAATACTACTACTAGCTACTAGTAGTACTATCTGTGTTAGCCAGTCAATTGTACTCGCTAGTAGGATAAATTAACATTCAGTAAAACAAGACTTGCTTTTAGTACTAGTAGTACTACTACTATTGGTCTAGTAGTAGTACTCACAGTGGCAACTAAAAGATTCTTATCTTACATTCATTTGTGAGGTAGTAGTACTGTACCAGCTACTGTACCGTAGATCACGAGTAGCTGTTGAATTTGTTGGAAGAAGTTGGCAATCAGCGAAGGATCGAGACACGATCTGATTATTGTTCACACTTTCACAATCTCGAACCCTTTTGTTCTGAAGAGAATCCAGCACTACCGACCATCAATCTAAAAGATCCAAATCATACTGCGCCGAGCACAAACAGACGATGCCCGCAGCGAAAAGCGAGACCGATGCCATTGAGGGGCTTCTCGACACCGATGCTTCGATGCGGCCGTTCCTCGACACGTTGAAGGACGGAACGACTTCGAAGATGAACCTTTCCACGGTGCGATCCCTGGCTCTCAAAACCTTTTCCCACCCGCAAATATTTTGCGGTTTTGACCAATTCAAGAGCTGCTGTCTGCCACTTCTTTTGCCGCAGGAAGAAAAGAACTCTGATTCCGCCGCTGGTGGTCCCCACAGCAGTTTGTTCAACACCCTCGATTTGTTCAGCTTTGGGACTCTAATGGACTACAACGCACGCGAAAACGTGGGCAAAGACTACTTTCTACCCCTTAATGACCAGGCCCTGGGGAAGCTGGGTCAATTAACCGTCTTGTCTTGCATTCAAGATGCCTGTTTCAACGGGAAAACATCCGTTTCGTATGATTCCCTGGCCAAACCCCTGGGATTGACAGGGAATATCAGAGCCGTTGAGGACGTCCTGATTCGATGTTTGTACGCCAACGTGCTGAAAGGCAAGCTCTGCCAAAAATCCCGAAGTTTCAGCTGGCAGGGAGAGTCCCTCCCGGTGGTGTTGTCGCGAGATGTTCCTTCGTCACGGATCTCGGATCTTATCGCGGCTCTGCAGAGCCTGGGGCAACGGCTAGAGGAAAGCCAGAACGACCTGGCCGGTACCCAACATGAGGTTGCGCAGGATCTCAAGGAAACGACCGACTACTGGAAATTCGTCCATAGCCAAAGGAAGGCCCTCCTCGAAGAATCCTCTTCCAAGGGGGGCGGCAGCAAGGGCCCCGTGGGCGGGGGAGAAGGGCCGCCGACCGTGGCGTCGCGTCTGTTCGATGCGGGACGGCAGCGACCCGGAGGGCGCACGGGCCACGGGAGCATCGGCGGTTCCGATGCATCCCGGAGCAGCAATGTCGGGAGATCGTCGAAACGAAGCCGAGGCGGACTGGCCGGCAAGTTTGTCACGGATGCCGCGGGATACCGCATGTAGTGCAACGAAACGTGAACCAGAAGTGTGCAAGGAAACTTTTCGAGAGCCACGAGTCATACTAGGTAGTAGCGTACAAGGGCGATTGCAGGGATTATATCAAGACTGACACCTGCCTTGAAATTGACTGTTCAATGATTTAACCTGTGCCTTACGTCCTCATGTACAAATGGGTCGACGCAGTGTTTTTGCTGTCGATTGTTTTGTTCCATTAAAACGCAGTGATTTCGGCGGGCTTGATCGGCGGTAAGGAGAGTCCATGGCAGGCAATGTACTCTGAATCTACAATTAGACGATTGAGCAGAGATTGAAGTACGATCGAGAATATGTACATTAATGATAAGCTTTAAACAAGATTATAGAGACATGTTTTGATTTCTGACCGGCGATATTTTGTGAATTTGATTTCAGCATTTTTGCATCGATCGATTCACCCCTCATTTTTGTCACCCAAGCACTTCCAAACGTTTTTGTCAGGAGAAATTGTTGCAGTTGCTGCTAGCTGGCGTTAATCGTTCTTCTTCTCGCGGTCTGCCTTCTCGGCCTCAACCTCGATTTCGATGGCTTCTTCCGTGCGGTGCTCTTCTTTCTGGTGAGATGCCGAACCAATCCCCACCGCTCCCTCTTTTCGGTTTGGAATTGACGGCACGAACGGGATTCCAACGTAGGTTCGCCCGACATAGTCGTAGTACTGGTCCCCAAACAGGCGCAGCAGAGATCGTTCCTCGTACGGAATTCTCTGCGAAAAGAACTTCCACCCGGCCACCGCGAAAAGAATTGCCGACCAGGGGTTGTGCAGGACTACCTGGGTGCCGATGGACCAGTAATAAAATCCCGTGTACGACGGATGGCGGAACCACGTGTATATCCCATCGGTGACCAGTACGTGGTTTTCTTTACGTTCCGTTTGGATGTAGTGGTTGAAGGATTCCCCGCACTTCATCATGGCCCTGGAACGCATCGTCTGCGAGAATACCACCATGACAATGCCCACGATGGTGGTCACCCACCACCAACCACTCTCGGTAGCATTCGAAGGAGCATCGTCGTCGATGCCTTCGCCACCACCACCACCACACCAGAAACCAAGCCAGAATTCCGTGCCGGCAATGATCGAAGCTACCGTGTAGGCTTTCGAGTGGTTGACCAGAAAGGAGTCGCTGGCCACTACCGTGGGATTGTAAAAGGCGGTGACAAAAAATTCCATCAGGTGAAAGGTGCACATGGCGGAAACGTAGAGGCACCAGGCCACGATCTCGGCCGCCCTCCGGGGGGAGAAGAAGAACGGAAAAGTGCTCGAGAACCAAAGGAGACCGCAGCCGGCGGAAACATGGATGCCCAGCAGCGTGCCGAGAAAGCAGCTCAGGATCCCCACGCGGCCGAGGCTTTTCTGCGGACCATCGACGTCGACGAGGCGGCCGTTCAAAAAGTCCAGCGCCAGAACGGACTGGACCCGGTCCAGGCACCTGCTGATCGGCCTCAGGCTCTCGATTATCTCTTCCATAGTGTCCCGGCGTGCCGTGCCGTAATCTTCCCTTGGTTGCGTGTGATTAAGACGCTTGCTTCGTTCCAGTTAGAATTTCTTGCTCGCTTTCGAATGGATGCAGAAACCACCTGATTGTCGCATGCACTAGTATTATATTATTATCTTGCAGGGCTCTGTGTGTGATATCAAATCGTGCTCTGATTTTTGCATGTCTTAGTCTCTACTGTCGGTGTAGTTGTCGTGCGCTGTTGCTGTAGCTATTGCTGTACTGGTTGTCTTCTTGGTTCGCAGTATTTGATTGTTGAAGCGTCGTCGGGAATGCATAGTTGTCCATTCCTGAGAACTTTTGACGCTTCCATCGCCTCGTGTCATTGCCGAGAAAACTTGAGAATTCATACGGTATGGTACCGCTACGAACCGGGATGAATCAATCGATCCCAAAAAATTAGGAGCGAACAACTACGACACCTGTTTCAAAAGGGGGGCGGGGGTTTGTGCATGTTGTCCAAGACGCCGTGCATATTTTTTCTGTTCGTGCCGCATTGGTTTCTAGCATACAGTAAGCTACGTACACAAACCGAGTACTGTACGGAGTACGTACCTGTACTTAGTCCCCAATGCTACAACGTAGGCTTGATTTTTGAGTCATTCGTTCTGATACCCGTTACGATGGTTTCGCGCGCCACGTCTTGGTGAAAAGCACGACTGATCGCAGCCACCAATATCAGTCCCTCTAAAAATTTTGAAGCCCGTCGACCGACCACGTTCAAACCCTTCGACTGATCTTCGATGATCGATGGAAATCTTTTCCTCTCTCCGAGGATCTCCGGGCCGCTCATTTCTGTAGAGTTTTTAGTCATCTCAAAACTTTGTCATCCCGCGCAGACTTTCACGTACAACTCAGTACCGGCTCACAGGAGCTAGACTCACGAGAGAACACGGTACGACCACGACAAACAGATTGCGGGTCAGCATTTGTCTTTCTCGTCGAGATTTAACAAGAAGTCTCACAATAAAACAAGAAGCCAACAATAAAATCCTGGAACTTTTGTTATTATTAAATTTAATCTCACCTCAAAATCAAAATGGTACGTGTGGGTCACTTTAGCACTTCACTTCATGTACCACTTGACGACCTTGAAGTAGTTTGTATCTATCGTTTGGAAGGCGATAATGCTTTCCAAGCGGCGTCTATTGAGTTTCGACGGTGGCGTTTCCGTCGGTCATTTTCGGTCTTATCCACCGTTCTGGGACCTGAAACCTTTCTCACCTCCGCTGCTTTCCCTTTCCCTTTTAGCCTGCCGAATCCGAGAGCTACGCCTTCTCCGCTGATATCAACCAGCTCCTTTCGTTGATTATCAACACTTTTTACTCCAACAAGGAAATTTTCCTTCGTGAATTGATCTCCAATGCCTCCGATGCCCTGGACAAGGTCCGTTATCAATCCCTGACGGATTCTTCCGTCTTGGACGCCGACTCCGAGCTCCAGATCAAGCTTATTGCCGACAAGGGAAACAACACCCTCACCATCGAGGATTCCGGTATTGGTATGACCAAGGCCGATTTGATCAACAACCTCGGAACTATTGCCAAGTCCGGAACCAAGGGATTCATGGAGGCCCTCTCCGCCGGTGCTGATATTTCCATGATTGGACAGTTCGGAGTCGGTTTCTACTCCGCATACCTGGTGGCCGACAAGGTCGAGGTCGTTTCTAAGAACAACGATGATAGCGTTCACACGTGGATTTCCGAAGCCGGAGGTTCCTTCACCGTCACCGATACCGAAGACTCGGGACTCAAGAGAGGAACCCGCATCATTCTCCACCTCAAGGAAGATATGTCCGAATACCTCGAAGAGAAGAGAATCAAGGACCTTGTGAAGAAGCACTCTGAATTCATTGGTTTCCCCGTCATGTTGTACACTGAAAAGACCACCGAGAAGGAAGTCACCGACGATGACGACGACGACGAAGACGAAGATGGCGACGACGACAAGCCAAAGGTCGAAGAAGTCGATGACGAGGAAGAAGCCAAGAAGGAGAAGAAGACCAAGAAAATCAAGGAGGTCAGCCACGAATGGGAACATTTGAACAGCATGAAGCCCATCTGGATGCGCAAGGCCGACGAAGTCACGCACGACGAATATGTTGCATTTTACAAGTCCATCTCCAACGACTGGGAAGACTATGCCGCAGTCAAGCACTTCTCCGTTGAGGGTCAACTCGAATTCAAGGCCATCTTGTTCGCACCCAAGCGCGCTCCCTTCGATATGTTCGACGGAGGTGCCAAGAAGAAGCACAACAAGATCAAGCTCTACGTCCGACGTGTATTCATCATGGACAACTGCGAGGAACTCATGCCCGAATGGCTTCAGTTCGTACAGGGAGTTGTCGATTCCGAGGATCTTCCCCTTAACATTTCCCGTGAAACCCTCCAGCAAAACAAGATTCTTCGAGTCATCAAGAAGAACCTCGTCAAGAAGTGCATCGAAATGTTCAACGACCTTACCGAAAACGAGGACACCTACGCCAAGTTCTACGAGGCGTTCTCCAAGAACCTGAAGCTCGGAATCCACGAAGACTCCACCAACCGTGCCAAGATTGCCAAGTTGTTGCGATACAAGTCCACCAAGTCGGGAGAAGAAATGACCTCGCTCGAGGACTACGTCGGCCGCATGGACGACAACCAACCTGGTATCTACTACATCACCGGTGAATCCCACCAAGCCGTCAAGACCTCTCCCTTCCTCGAGAAGCTCCAGAAGAAGGGATACGAAGTCTTGTACATGGTTGACCCCATTGACGAATATGCCGTCCAGCAATTGAAGGAATTCGACGGAAAGAAGCTCTTGTCCGCCACCAAGGAGGGACTCGATCTTGCTGACGACGAAGACGAAAAGAAGGCCTTCGAAGAAGCGAAGGAAAAGACCGAGCCTCTCTGCAAGTTGATGAAGGAAGTTTTGGGCGACAAGGTCGAAAAGGTTGTCGTCTCGAACCGTCTTGCGGATTCCCCCTGTGTTTTGGTTACTGGAGAATATGGATGGTCCGCCAACATGGAACGTATTATGAAGGCCCAGGCACTTCGTGATGCCTCGCAATCTCAGTACATGACTTCCAAGAAGACCATGGAAGTCAACCCCACAAACTCGATCATCTCTGCCCTTCGCGAAAAGGCTGAGGCCGACCAAAGCGACAAGACCGTCAAGGATTTGATCTGGTTGATGTACGATACCTCGTTGTTGACCTCTGGATTCTCCCTCGACGAGCCAGCCACTTTCGCCTCTCGTATCCACCGTCTTGTCAAGCTCGGTCTCTCGATTGACGATGACGATGATGCCGATGGCGAGGACGATATGGATGACTTGCCACCACTGGACGACGACGACGATGACAATGAGGAGTCTGCCATGGAGCAAGTCGACTAAGCAATTTGCTATTTTATTGTATAGTACCGTATAATATGGTGGCGTCGATGGTGTTCGTTCTTCATTTCTTTTGCAGAACGGACTTCCATTATGGGATTTTAAACAATTAGATTTCGATTAAATAGAAAAATTCGTCTCACTATGCCGTAAAGCAGTTTCAAAAGTCTCGTCTCGGCTTGCACGTTCAGGCTTTTCTCGAAAGATGAAATCACGGACAAAACTATGGAAGTATATTAAGCATAAGTACACGGTTGAGATCGAGACCATTTCGAGACATGTCCGTTGAGCGACTGGTGTTAGATAGCATTTTGCTCATGATATTATTTTGTGATTTCTATTTTCTTCATACAATCGAAGCCGAGATCTCTCTAGCTCTGTCCTGTTCGGCCCACTTTCCTGCGGCGAACAAACTCATTTACTGTTGCGCTTGCGAAGATTCTTGGGCGAAAACCTGCATTCACAGTGATTAATGACGCAGCGACCGTCTTCGTTCAGGGTCGTCGCTGGTATGGGTTTCATATCGATGGCGAGTTTGCACGTAGGATTGCAGCACAAAAATACGGCATCGTCGTGGTTGGGTTGGGCCAGTCGCCTATACTTGTAAATGTATATATCGTTTGTGTTTCCCGATCGCTTGTTCCACTTTACCGAGTTCCAGGCTTTTCCTAGCAAAATCTTTTCGCTATGGTAATACGACGCATACTCGCTTTGCTCGAGCTCGTGCCTAGTCCTCAGTTCGTTTGTGCTGCTCCTGTTGAGTCCGAGGTTGAGCGGGTGAAAAGTGACCATGATGGCACCAGGAGCCATCGAAGCAAAAAGCCCAGCAATGTAGTCATCGAGAAACCACTTGTCGTTGTTTTTGCTAGAACGTTCCGCGAAGACACCATTGAAATTGTTAACGTAGGCGCGTGTAACTCCCTTCGTCAAGAAATCTTTTTGGCTCGGATCCTCCAATCGCCCGAGCCGCAGATCCACGCTTCCTACCTTTGGACGGGAAACCACCGCTCCTTTGTGTTCGGCGTACATGCCTCCACGAAATTTTTCGGCAATTTCGTGCCGGTCAGATACAACCTCAATTCCCCGTGAATCACATCCAATGCAAAACGAAGCATGTAGGCACGTATTTCCTACACCGTGCCCTATGTCAAGAAATATATCATCAGGCCCAAGTTCAAGAATCTTCATCAATTTCTTCATTGCGTGCGGCAGAACCCTTCCATACTGAGCCTTTACCTGCCCGTCAGTGTCGGTGGGATCGATCGTATTATTTGCTCTTTTTATCAATTTTGTATCTTCGATTTCATCCATTCTTTCGGTTTTTCTTTCAAAGTTCTTCCACATATTGAAAAATTGTTGGTGGGTGTACGCTGTGCAGTAACTGTCGTAATCATCGCTTCCATTGGAGTGTTCAGAGTTGTCAGAATCGCCAAAGGATGTTTCTGTGTCGCTTGAGCAACAACTGGACGAATCTTCTTCCGTCTCAGACCTACCAGAGTTCTCGGACAGGTCAAATGTAGATGGATGTTTTCTACTGAACAACCGAAAACATTCAACGCAGAAAATCTTTCCTTCAATTGCGTCTTCTTGACATTGAACTCTGTTTTTAACACTGAAGCATTGATACGATGGGAAAATCTTTTTTTTATCATTTGCAGTTTCTTCAAGAATGTGATTGCACGGCATCTTTTCCTCGTGGCACTGCCGGCACTTGAAACAAATAGCAGAGTCTTCCATGCATTTGTAAGAGCACCGCTTGGAGTTATAGATGAAGTTGCACCTTTCTTCAGCTGAAGTGGCTAGTTCAAGTTTGTGCGTTGAAATTTTGATTTCTCTTTTGAATTCTATGTTTTTCGGAACTTTACCACTTCCGGAGAAAAAACTTCTGGAATTCGTTGTTGAATCACATTCGCTATTTTTCGAGAGCGCTGCATTATTTCCCCCCCCCGTTCTCCCCTTCGAAAGCTTCGCTGATCCTGAATCGGTAGAGAAGAAGAAAGAATTTAACATTGACTGGATTGGTCGCAGAAATAGTACTAACGATATACTCAATCAGGGCACACACGACCTTTGACAGAAAAAGATCTACAGGACACATACCTGTTATCGAACCCAATCTTTCACTTGAACTCTGGTTAGCCCTATCTCCATACTTTAATTTCTTCTCAGGCAAGATTTCAGCCGAGGAGACTTTTTCAGGAGGAAAATTGATGTGTTTGCAACAAAAGACGGATCTATTCAATGCTTTGTACCTACACTGGGTACCCGCCTTCGTAATGCCGATGCAGCGCATCGTACTTGGTTCCTCTTGGAAAAATTTGTCACCTTGATGCGGCGGTGCACTACCATAGTGCCATGCGCAAAATCCAGGATGTGTATTCAAAGAGTTTCGCATGCACCGCTTTAGCTGCCTCCCTTTCCCTACAATGTAGACACACTGCTTGAGATTGTTAATTACGTGCGATGAGTTTGCTTCCGAACCTTTGATTGAAAGTTCTTCTTTCGTCCTGGCTGACGTTGGCATTTTTTTTTTCATTTTTGTCTTCCGATTCGATTTTACTGTCGACCATGACTTCCCACAGCTATTACTATTTGCGTTCGTACTTTTTCTTCTTTCCCAGTACAGCTTCTGGTCCGGGTCGAGTTCACGGTGATTGTGGCAATACTTGAAGACACCCTCGGCACAATTCAAACAGCGATTGCTGACAACCAAATCACCTGTCATGGCAAGCCCATCCTTCGTGGCTCTGCACCTACGCTGACCCTGGATGTTTTGGTACAGGATATCTTCTGGAGTATCTGCTTTCTTTGTACGATTGCGCAGACGCGAAGTGCGAATTACACCATAGTCGCAGACGCCTGGATTATTGAAAGGAACTAATTCCGGAGGTAGCCTAAATTCGGGAACAATTTTTTCAGGTGATTGAACTTGTGCTTCCTTTTCTTCGGCCACTTTTGGTAAATGTTGGGTTTTCTCAGGCCCCGACACAGGATCATCCACGGAAGGTTTATCGTCTTTGTCACTATTCAAATCATTTTCTTCAGGCCCTCCAGACTTGATCGATTCTTCCAAACTCTTTAAACTATCATCATTTCGCGGTCTTTTACTGGTTTTGCTAGCAATTGAAACATCTGGAGATGGATCGCGCCTTTTCCCTAGTCGCTGCTGCTGATCTTTTCCCTCCTCAACACCAGGGAAAGCAAAGACGTCTCCATGGATAGTTTCGTTCCGAGGAAGTCGTAGTGTTGACCTCGAAATGCTGATTATTTCCTTCGATGTATGCTGAGGAGGATGTTTCTTTCCTTCTTTATCGTGCTGATTCTCGACCCTGATACCATTAGAGGACGATGATGGCGATGATGATAAGAACGCGCTCACGCGACCATCGTTCATAAATAATTGCCTGCGTCTCTTTTGTGAAACGCCTGTCGTCGTCGCAGATGGTGGTGGCTTTGTAGACGCCAACAGCGATGATTTTGGGTCTGTCGTGTTTCCAAACGTGACGGTCGAGGTCTCCAATGGATCTTCAAATGGTTTTGATATTATTGTAACCGACGTGGTGGTGACTGATGTCGTAGCTGCTGCGTTCTCCTTTCCTTCACCGTTCCCCCCCTCCTCATCGAAATAGACGTTGGAAGTGTCGGATGTTGCCAAGGAAGGCGATTTTGTGGATGGCGATGGCGTTGGTTTTAGATCCGTGACGTTACAGCGTTCTGCCGAAGATTCTTTCCGTATTGTTTTTAAGTTGGCTTCGAGAGACCGACCGTGGATCCTCAACGCACGTCCCGTATCTTCCTTCCCATCGCAACGTCCATCACCGCCAATGACTTGGTCTTTTGTCGATACAAGACCAATAACAGGAGATTCATTAGTCTTCAATACTTTCTGGCTGCTCAGCGGAACAGTGATGCCGGGAATATGAGCTGGTCCACGCATGGGCGACGTTGTTTCGGCTTGTAAGTTGTCACTCGAATTATTCCCCTCGTCCCTGGGTGACGACGGTGTTTTGCTGTTCTCTGAGCTGTTACTTCCCGGGCTAAAGATACTTTTTCCAACGCTTTTGACAAATCCAAATATGTCATTCATATCTTGAGGGTTGTCAACGATTACCGTACGACGAATGGGGGTTCTCCCGCTTCCGCTCGGATAGGAGGCAATGAAGTGAAGTTTACAAGAATATCAACCGTGGGATGACGTGAATCTAGTTCTACTCATGGAGCAGATGAATCCTCGCTCTCAAGAAATGGACTTGTCTGTTTGATCTGTGGAACGGTAATGAATCTTTCTCCAATGACTTCAGTTTGATAATCGAGGATGAGATTGCCAAAGTAAGATGATTGTCAGTTTCGAAGAGTTACTGTAGTGGAATCGCATTAGTAAGCCTCATTCAAAATGATTGCCGCGTAAGGATGGATGTGCAAAAAAATAACCAAGGGCCATGTTGTGCTTCGCTTCCGATTGCTTGTACCAGGAAGGGTACGTACATACGTACCGGACCATACGACTCTTAATCTTGGAGTCCGGGGGCGGCAAACCTGGAGCCATAGTGCTACACTTAAAAAAACAATTGAACTCTCGTTAATTAAGGGGTTCGGAAAGTTAAAGTAACGTTCTGAATGTAAGTGTTAACATTCTGTATGTTAGCACAGTAGGCCTACATAGGATTTCTACTAAAACCAGTGGTGGCATGCCGGCATGCCCAGCAGCAGCTGTTCAGCATCGTCTTGGGTTTTTATCTTGCGTTCAAAATTGTACTGACGAGGCCTAGTACTGTGGCCTCCCCAATAAAAACTTGTCTCAAGCATGCTAGAACTGTTCTTTTCATTCAATCAAAAAACTTGGTTCAAAGCAACTGATCATGGGAATTGCTCTATTTCAAGGACTTCCACTCAATCTCAGACACTGTACTTGGTACTATCACTGGATAGTCTAACTCTCCTTGATTTTTGATTTCAATAGCCTTGAACTGTACTAGCAAAGGACCCAGTAGAAGTCATAGTATTATAGTGTGTTCAGTGTAGCTTCTTTTTTTACGGCAACAGCATCCAACGTTGGCAACAAACAGAATGAGCGATAGGAAGAAGTATCCAGCCCATGAGGTTGCAAAGATTACACCACCAGCCAATGGTGGCCTATCTGTGGTAGCAGGGGATCTTCATTTGCCTCCAGCAACTGAGGAAGTGTGGAGAATCCAAGGAGGTGGATCAATGTGACACAGTTGGTAGGGACCTCTTGTACAATCTTTGCACACTTTATTGATAGGATTTGCAGCAAGGACATTGAGGAAAATCCAGTCCCTGTGGGACAATCTGGGCTGTCATCTATCCACTTTGGTGGGTCTGAAGGTTGCTATTAGACCTGATCCTAAACCGACTCTATTGAGATCTATTCCTTGGCCTTTATACCAGCCAAAGTATAGGCCTGTTGAATTCAAGATCTGTGATATTGTATCAGCAGTATCTAGAGAGGCCCGGTCTAAATGGATTACCAGTGATCTTGAAGCAGCCATCTACAGGGAGGCGGGGAAAGATCTATCCTCAAAGGCATTGATGCTTCCTTTGATCACTATGGATACAGTTTGGATGGCA